GTAAAAACTTGTGTAAGAAAAAGCTTTGTATTTCATCACTTAGTAAACTTACTTAAACTCCCCCACATATGTATGGACATATTTCCCACTTGCTTGTTGGCCTGAGACTAATCATACCTTCCAGATTGTCCCTAAGTATCGTACAAGTCTTCTATGTTGTTTTTCTAGGTTGTAGCATAATTAATAATTTGAGCGATAAGTTGCTACAGCTCAAATGCATTTCGTGTGTCAGCGCTGCGTCAGGAAGCCCCGCCAAGTATGTCGAGCCTGCTGGCTGCTGGCTGCTGGCTGCTGCGCCTGAGCCTGGGCCTGGCAACATTAGTGGCAACACAACATTCTAATTAAGTCATGGGGTTTTGTGTTTCCTACAGCGCCGCGGGCGCTTTGTGTAGCAAATTTTTGTGCAAGCTTCCAAAAATGTGTACATAAAACAAGAGCAAAAATGCCAGAGAGAGGAAGAACTATAAAATGGGCCAAAGGGAAGCGCAGCGCCGCACGGCACAGCAAAACTGTTCATGACTGAGTTGGCGGAGGGCTGAGGGCTGAGGGGTAGGGGCTGTCAGGCGGCAGAGCCTCGAGGCAAAAGGCATAACTGTAGCAGGACTCTCTCTCTCTCTTAACCAGTCCTTCATCGTTGCGTCTCCTTTCGTTTCCCGTTTCAACGTTTGCTTTATTTGCAAGTCCAAGCGTGTTCATGGCTCGCGGTGCGTTTTCCCCAAACAAAAAGGAAGGCCACCAACCATCAGCCATCCCCTCGTCAACCCAACACCCACCAGCAGCCCCGCCCCGCCTGACTATCGCACCACAACTTTGTTTTTTGTTTCTCGTTTTGCTTTGCACCATTCTGCCGATCTGCTTTTGTTTGCAACTTTTTGTTTTGTTGCTGGCGCAGGAGCTAATTAAAGGAATGTTGAAAAAGTGTAATGTGTAGGCAAATTTCAGTCGAGCCACATAAATAATCCCGATTATTGTACCTGGGCAAGGCTCCCGCACAATTTCCATTTGATACAACAGCTCTGAAGGTTGCAGGTCTTTCGAATGACCAGGAATGGGTCATTGGCCAAGGGAAAATATGGAGAGAGTATTGAGAATGGCAGTAAAATGACCCTGAGTGAAGGCTAGACGTATGAAAATGGCGCAATTAGCTGCACAACTTGGCTGGCAAAAGATTAATGACAGCTTTCCCTTTTTGGCAGGTCCTTTGAGTTGTCGCTGCCTTATTGACTCGAGCTCGAGAGCTCAAACTGAAACTGAATTTCAGGGCCAGACGCGAAGCCAATCGACTGTCGGCAGTCGACTCTCGGCTCTCGTGTCAATAAAACGTTCTCTGTGTACATACAAATAATAAATGATGCCAAGAGTTGGCCAAATGAGCGAACACAAAAAGTGCAAGTAATTAGACACATAAATTTCATGACAACTTGCCTCTAATAAACACAGAAACTTTGGCCTTGTCGTGCGCCTTCAAACGTGAAAGATCTCAGCTCTTACCGAGTCCACACAATCTTAACTAGCTCTGCACTTCCTGTGACCATGTTGACTACAGATTCCCACTATGTTGAACGAACTGAGGCGCATTTAACAAGGTCTGCCATGTCGGATCTGAAACAGGGCTACACTCTTCGTTTGGTAGTCATTGTCGGCACATGCTGCCCCGCTCTTGTTGGCTAATTTCTGGACGCAGCGACGATGAAAACTTTAAATTGTTTGGCAATAAATGCGATAGGGGTCGCGCGGATGGAATGCCATGCAATAAATTGAATTTTGTAGCCTATTTAACGCGAGCCGATTGCCATTTAATTTAATGCCAAATGCGGATTGATCAACGCACTTATTTCCGCACTGTTGTCCGCCATTGTTAATAATATTTATGGAATATTCGCTGTTGGATATAAATAATTGACGCTGACAGCTTGATAAATGTGCTCTCAGCCGGGCTAATGAAACTAAAACACGGCCATCGAGCTGTCTGCCTTCCTGAATGCCGCCTCACTGCCTCACTGCCTGCCTGTACAATGTTTGTTGCTCTCCACGAGATGATGCCAGCGAGTTTTTAAATTAAGATAATGCAGCAGACGATTCCACGGTGCGTATGAGTAGCACAATTTCCTGCCTCGCTGCTAGAAGCTGGTGCCTCTGCTGCCATTTGCCATTCCTCCGCCTAAAATCTTTTAGCAACAATTTTTGCTAGCTAATGCGAATGATAAGCGCACATAATATATTTGCTGCCATTAGCGAGTTGCATTTGGGAACGTTCCTGAATTACGGGGGCATTATCCGTCCTGCTGCAGGAAGCGCACACATTTTTTGGGACCGCCCCCTGCACTTTTGGCCATGGCCCATTTCGGTGGAGAGTGCTGAGTGCTCGATTTATGGGTCCTGGATATGCAGCGGCGTACTTTGCTCTATTTTCCCGCTCTCAAACAGTCGCAGCAGCCCATTCAGCACTTCCAATTCTCGTGCGCCCCACAAATCCGATTTCATTATGGACAACGTGCGCCGAATTAAAAGTAGATTTAGCATGGCTTGCAACAAAAGAAGGAATGCAGTTCCATGCCATTCCATTCAGAGCTGCCACACCCATTAGCAACGCTGGCTGGAGTGCGTGCTTGGTGCTGCTGCCACCAGCTAGATGCATGCAACAGTCCCTCCCCATCACTCCACTCTATTCGTGATGCATGTGCATATAATTTAATGTATGCGCATTCGAGATTTGCGTCTTATCTGCGACTGCCGGGGCAACCGAGCCGGAGAGCAACGGAAACTATAAGCTGAGTCAGGACTTGTCGCAGATGCTTGGCGACGTCACTTGTGATGGCCGTGATTTGATCACCCCGGGAAAGTTTTTACTTGCTGCATTTTATATTCAATATACGAGTAGTTTTTTATTGCAAAATTAAAACAGGAAAACAATTAAATGTCAGCCATCAAAGCGGATCGTAAAGCTGAGGCAAAGAGCCAGGCGACTCTCATTGAAGAGTGCACTGTCCGTGGTCTATACATCTCTTTCTCGGAAACTCTCGAAGCTCTTGTCATCTCTGGCAGACCGTGCATACTGCTACCCGGTCGCAATCTGCCGCACACCTTCGCAGGCAGTTAATATAATCAGAGCCTGACAAGCAATCTTCTCCCATGCATTGACGATGAGTGTCCCGCTGTTTTGTCGCTGCTGCTGCCACTGCCTGTCGCTTGCTGCTGTTTCTGCTACTGCTGTCGCTTGTTGTTTCCGGCATTTGTCACTCCACTGTGCAAGCACATGTGTGTGTGTGTGAGTTTATATTGTATGTCTATATGTCGGGGTCGGTCTTAGCTTGTTTGTCAGGCGACGGCCCTTTCGAATTTATTATGTTGATGCTCTCGCGCGAAGGCTGAACTGATGTGTGCTGCGTGTAATTTGAAATTATGCGACGCAGTGCCAAGACGTATGCTTAACATAATCAAATAACTCAAACGCCCATACAACATGTCGGTTCATAAAACAAAAAGGGAGACTGTCATTCCTTTTCTGCGTGCTTCTACTTGTGCCTCGCTTTTTCATTATCATAATTTCTAGCTGATTTCATTGCTCCATCGGCAGAAAGAGCATCGACGGAAGCAACAACCTGTACGATTGATACGCTCAAGTTCGCTTTTCAATTATGTGCCCAACAGACGTGACTATCGCGCATAATGTGCCCGATATGTTGGCTGTTGTGTTGGCTCCTTGCCGGGGATGCCGAAGATGCCTGCCTTCTCGTATTCGTGTTCATTGCGCCCGCACACCTTTCGCGGATGGATAGCTTCATTACGCTTTTATTGAGACGGGCCGGGGGCCGGGGGCCGGGACTTTAGCTGGCGTGAGAAGTATTTAAAGGCGAGCATGACCAACATTTACCGTGGAAACAAAGGCCCAGCCCGTATGTGGGTTAAAACGAAAATGTACACAAAAGGTAGCATCGCAGCGCATCGCATCGCACACATGGTCGCAGCAGTCCTCAACAAACATATGAAACGGGCATCAGATGGAGGAGGAGGAGAAGGGCCCTGTCCCTCGCCACCCTCCCCTTCTCAACCGAAGAAACGAAATGAAAAACGTGAAAAGTGCTGCCACAAAAGTAAGTTTTGGTTTTTGGTTTAGGGCACTGGGATAGAGGGACAAACAAAGCACAACAGAGCGCAACACTGTGACGGCGGGCGGGCGGAACGGGTGGGAAACAAAACACAGAGAGAATATTTCCCCGCTGCGAGAAAGAGAGAGGCGAAAATGTCCCTCTTGCCGTGCACTTGTGGAACCTGTCGGCGTAGTGGCAACAAACTAACAGCAACATAACCAATGTGCAATTCGATATACAAATTGAATTGTCTAATTGAAAGTTAAGTGGAGTCGAATAATGGGATTAGGGAAACGGAAGGTGGGTAATAATATTCGCGAAATAAGATAATTGTTAGACAAAATTTAAATAATTTGCATGTCTTCTTAGTTATCAGTAATAAAATCGTATAATAAAACTTTGACCGAAAAGTATTTAGCACGAAAAGGTAGAAAAGAAACTCTAAGAAAACGTGTGCTCGAAAAATAATCTTAATTGGTATTCAATTGCGTTGAAAACCTATAATCCAGAGATGATTATTATGATTACCTTGGAATCTGCAAATTATTAAAGCAAATATTGGTGCACCTTTTGTTGATTAAAGGTCTACTACGAGAGTTTACCCCACAAAAGCGATCGGGGGACAGCCACTATTACGAGTGCAACACTCACAAATGGCAAACGTAAACAAAGCAACCCATGCCAGAGCAATGCATAAATGAGAATCGCATACACCCAACTGTCTCAACAACAAGAACAAAAGAGAGACACTCACTCGTGCAGTAGCAAGAAAGAGAGAATTTCCCAGCGGAACGATGGAAGCGCTGCGCACGACGACCACACGCAAAGAACGACCGAAGACAGCCCCTGTCTGCCTCCCATGTGGATGCCATTTTTGGTAGCAAGTCCGTCAGTGGCAGCGCCAGCGGATGCCGTTCAGTTAGGATGTGCAGTTCGAGCGGTGCGAACGTGTCCCGGGCGCGTCAATTGGCCAAGTAGCCGAAAAAGCCAAGAGCCAACCAAAGCAGCCGCCACGGCAACAGTTCTCCATAGCCTGCGCCAGCATCGAGCGGGAAAAACACGCCCGACACAGAGAGTGAAATTCGCGGGTCGCGCGTTGTGTGTAAATAAACAGAGAAAACGAGTGAATGAAATACAGACCGCAAACGGATCATCCATCATCGCCTCATCTATCAGCGATCCGCGCGATTTATTGGCAGTGAGTGCGCCAAAAACATTCGGTCAGAACTTATTGTATTAACAATATTGCCTCAGAGTGTCTGACGGATGACTCGGCAGCCAGCGCAATGTGAGGAGAGCGAAGGGCAGTGGAGCCAGAGCCAGAGCCAGAGCCAGTCAATTGGATCGATGGGATCGTGTCCCGCCAGTGGCAGCAGAAGTTCAGCGAGGATGCCCCACACTTGTACATAGCCAGATCTTTTTCTATTCGTCTCTGTCATGTGTCCGTGTCTGTATCTGTGTCCGTTTCCGTGTCCGTAGTCCTAATCGTATTCGTACCCGTATCTGTGTAAACTGTATATACTGTACATGTGCTGTAGACTATAATTGATTTATGAAACAAAAACAAAAGCCAAGAAAACCATAACTTAAACAAAAAACAAAAAGCAAAGAAGCGCGCGCGCGTTCTACACGCCACACACGAGTTTCGGTGCAAAACGGGTATTAAAAAATCGAAGTAATCGCTAGAAAATATTGCGAATGCTAGGAATTAAATAAATTATTAGGGTTAATTGGGTGTTGGAGCGGAACGCGAGAGAGCAGCCGATCACCGACCACCATCACACGCGAGAATTCTTCAATTGGAATTTCGCGCGTAAGCAAATTTAATTATAAATACGAGCAGCCGGATGGACGGCAGCATGGGACCAATCAGACTATAGAGATTAGCCATAGCTAAACACACACACACACACACACACACCTAGAGTTAGGATTATAGCAGATCGCACAGACCAGCAGACCAGACCAAAGGCAGCCATGGACTACAGCAGGCTGAATGCCAACATCAACACGGGCAACATTAGCACCGACGACTTTCTGGCCGTGTTCACGACCAGTTCCACAGCAGCCACAGGCGGGCCACCCAATGGCACGCGGTACCCGGACACCCTCAATCCCCCGCTCCTAACCGTAGATGGCCAACTGACGGTGCCGGGCCTGCTCGACCAGTCCGCCACGGGATCGGGTGCGGGGTATATCAATGTGAACGACACGATATATCTGCTGAATGGCAGCTTCTACAACAGCACACTGCAGCTGGCGGGCAGCTACTACAACCAGAGCGGCGGAGCGGGCAACCTGAGTGGGGGCTACGGCCTCATGGGCAACGGCAGCAATGTCACGGAGGTGCACTGGGACGGACGCTATCCGAGCGGGTACACGCTCACGCACATAGTGATTGCCTCGATCATTGTGACCATTCTAATGATCATCATCGTGGTGGGCAACATGCTGGTGATCATTGCCATTGCGACGGAAAAGTCGCTGAAGAACATACAGAACTGGTTCATCGCCTCGCTGGCTGTGGCCGACTTCTTTCTGGGCCTCATCATAATGCCCTTCTCGCTGGCCAACGAGCTGATGGGCTACTGGATCTTCGGCAGCTGGTGGTGCGACATCCACTCCGCGATGGACGTGCTGCTCTGCACCGCCTCGATCATGAACCTCTGCCTCATCTCTCTCGATCGCTACTGGAGCATCACCAAGGCCGTCGACTATCTGAAGTCGCGGACGCCGGCCCGTGCCGCTGTCATGATTACGGCGGTGTGGATTATGTCGGCACTCATCTGCATCCCACCGCTGCTGGGGTGGAAGGTAAAGATGCCCGAGGGACCGCTGCCCAAGTGCGAGGTAAGTGCAGTCATATTCAATGCAAAATTGACGCCAATTGATGGCAATTGTTGCCCCAACTGGTACTCGAAACGCTTCCATGAACACACTTGTATTTGCAAACAATAAAGCGAACGAGTCTGGGGGTACAGCTCAAATGTGCGGCGGATAGAAATATGCAAAGCGCTGAAATTGCGGCCTCTTTCTATGCAAATTTTGAACAATTGTCAGATCGTTCGGTGCCGGGTTTGCCGCTCGTTGGCGAAAGTCACGCAGAGAATAAATGCTGAGATATTTATGCATACGAGAATGAGTTTGAGCGGGTACATTCCCCGAGTGTATCTAATTCTTCACCCCGCCCCCATCCCTAATGGAGTGAGAGCTTGCTCTGGGCCCAAGCCTACCCCAAAAAGTAGGCCATAATCCATAGAAATATGCGCATTATCATGCGGGTCTTCTGCCAGTTGTTGAATTTGAATTTGAATTTGAGTATGTGGTGCGGCATAGCGAAACAACCAAAAAAGATACACACATCCATGCTGAGCTTTGGCAGCGTGGCAGGGGCAAAGCGTAACAAACTAGCTGGAAAATTCACAAGAGAAATTCCTTGGCAGGGGCCACACAACAAACTTCCCCTTCCCCTCAGTGGCTGCCACAAACTGCCGCACGCCTGTCTTGCCAGCATTCGGCTGGGAGCCATTTTGGCGCTGCCTCCGTTTTTCGGCAAATTCTTTAAATTCTGCCACAAATTGAAAACGTCCTTCAAACGAATCGATGCACTCAGCCAGCCAGTCAGTCAGTCAGTCACTGCGGGACAGGGAAACATTCAATCACAGTGACTGACCCGAGGAATTCCCACACCGGACTTTTGACAGCAACATTTCGAGCGTTTAAAGCGTTTAAACGGGAATTTTGCACAACAAAAAAGTGTGTACAAAATGAAAGAAAATATTTCGCCCAGTCCCCTGGTCAGTGGTGGTGGGTTAAACCACAATATTATTTATTGCAATCATGATAAATGCGTGGCACGAAAAAGTAACAGCAAGAGCGAGACAAAGACAGAGACAGAGAGAGTGAGCCAGCAAAATGGAAAATGCAAATAGCCCGTGGCAGACCTCTGGAGTATCCGTATCTGTATCTGAATCTCGCCTGTCTCCAGAATTTTTGATTAATTTTGTTTCGCTGTGTGTGTTACCGCCACACACACACACACACACACACTCCCATTGGACACTGGACAATGTCCTGTGGAGGAGCAGAAATAATAATAGAGTGTGCGACGGGCGGGCAAAAAATAAAGTATCTTTATATAGAAGAATGCTTACGTAAAGTTTGCCATTCAAATTAACCTTGAGACAATAAAACGACGAGCTGCGGGGCAGTGGACGGGAACGGGAACGGGAGGGGGAAAATGTTGAATGTTTTTATTTACGGCCCGAGACTGGTACTGGTACTGGTACTGGTGGACTATGGGCATCACAGACCGGACCGAACCGGCAAATGCTGGCACATTAATCAAGTCTAAGTGGCCCGGATAAAGTTCTATCGGGGGAGTGAGCTGAGGACCAGCTTGTTGGCAGCCTCAGGGCATAATGAACAGCCATGTTTTTGTGAACACCACCAGCCGTATGACAATTTATAATTTCGATGGCCAACTTTGCATATAAACAGAAATTAGTGTGTTTGACCAGCGTCCAAGGGGATGGATTACCTGAAGCCACCTGGCACCGCGCTCCACCATTCCCTCCACAACATTCAATCATTTATCTCATTTAGCGTCAGAGGCCCAATTAGCTGGCCACCCTTTTGGCCCAACAAATGTCGGAGGAGACGAACAAACCGCCAAAACCAATCAGCTAACTAGCCTTATCGACACGGATACTCGTGGCCGTCACCCTGCCCGGCCTCATGGCTCGGCCAATCATTAAAAATGTCTCCCGGCCAACAGGGGATAGCAGGCGGTTGATTTCGGGAAAGGAAATGACTGTCGGCATTGCCCTTGTTCAGGGCTGCCATCAAAAACCTCCAATTTGCAGCCGAATCGAATGGCCTGTTGTCGGGTGTTGTCCCCTGTCCGTGGGCGACGGTAAGGAGAGGTGCGGCGGCAGAGTGGCATGGCCTGGTGAACATTTTAATTATGACACCATGTTGACATGTTGTAGGTCGTCGTCGTCGTCACGGCAGCGGCACATTGAACCGCAATACAAGCCGCACACCAGCAAAAAAAAGGAAGGAGAAAGCAGCCAGAAAGGTCGCAGCAGGAGATACTCTTTCCCCCAAAATTAGCTGAACGTTGCAAGTCAGTTCTTACTTACTTTTAGCAGGAAATGTCATGGGAAGTATCTCAACATTATGGATATTTAATAATCAGATTTATTATAGATAATTATTTTCAGCGATTACTATCCGAAAATTACTCTTTCCCGCACACAATCAAAATACTCAACTGTAAGGGTACAGAAAACTTGTTGGTGTCATGTGTGGAGGCAGGAGGCCGTAGGAGGTGGTGGTGCACAGCGATGCGCTGATTTGACACTTGCCTGCTCGATTTAATTAATAAAGGAACATTTTAGAGAGCGATGACGCTGATTTTGCTCAGCCAAGAGGGAGAGAGAGAGGCCTCTGCTCTCGACATTGTCTAGCCATTGAACTATTTATGGGAAGAAAGAGGAATGGGAAAGGCCATAAGGGCTGTTGATTTCCATATGTGCGTCTCTGTGTGGGTGTGCAAATATTTTGACAGGCACATTTTAATTGACATCAGCATCAGCAGCCGCCCGCAGGGGAAAGCGGCGAAAGTTTTGCCCTCCCTGATTAATGCGCGGCCTAATGAGGTGGCTCTAATTGTGCGTGGAGACTGGTGGGAGTACTCCCACTGCCTGTACGAGTTCTACTGTGAGTGCGTGTTATTTTTGGATTCCTAATAATGCCTGCGGCGAGAGACCCCCGTGGCATGCAAATCAGCACCCATTGTTCGTCAGCCTCTGAGCGAAATGAGTGCAATTTGGGCATGGAAGTGGCTCGTTTTGGGCAAACCAATCTACCAAAATATACACGAATATGTATAAGAAGAACGCTTAATTCGTGGTAACGACTCGTACATTATGCAATGCCCCATCCGATTCTATTCACTCACAATGCAAACAGACTCAAGCTGTGCCGAAGCACGTCCCATTGTGCCGCAATGAGGTCTTTTGTGGTCGGCGCCAAAGGGTCGGGTCGGGTCGGGTCGGGTTTGACAGGCGCTGCCACAATGGACCTTATTATTATAATCCGTAAAGGGGCAAGCACTTTATTGAAATATTAATCGAACATTATGAACCATTTTCCGGCATATAATCGGACAAAAGGCAGACCTCCTCTCAAAACTCTCACAATGGAGCAACAATCGGCTTTTGGCTCAAAGAACATTCATCAAATCCGACGGAGAATGCGAAAGTTTATGCCCAAATCAAAGTAGTTGAAACAAAAACCGAAGAATCTGGAGCAGCTTTTGTGGCAGAGTCAAGGCAATTAGGGTCTGGCGGCAGTTTCGTTTTCGTCAGCTCAAATTGCCCCTGGCAAAATGTGTAGCCGGGACAACACGGTGGTGCGTATGTGTAATGTAATGGCAGCCACCCGACCGCCCGCACAATAACGACTTAAGTCATTGCCTAAGTAGCTCATTAGCGTCAGTTTTTGCCAGGCACTTTAAAGGAAATTAAGAGAAAAACTGCAGAGTGGAAAGCATTTAGACCCTGTCACACAGTCACCCTTCGACGGTGGTCCTCTGGCATAGTCCTTCCCCCTCCCCGTGCCTATTTTCATCCTCAATGTCCTGGCCAGCGGCATGGCTCGACTGGCAGAGCTTTAAGTTGACATTGAGGCTCCGGCTCGTGCTCGGTCCAAAGTGTGCGTGAGCCTGGGCACTTTTGATATTTTCTCATTATTTCGTACATGTGCAGGAGCCTCAGAATATCCTCACATATGTGCTAGTCAGTGTATGTGTGTGTGTGTGTTGGAGACTGTAATTCTCGTTAGGTCTTTGTTACATTTCATACACTTGACTTGCCCTGCTCTGCCCCGCCTTCAGTCTGGTTGTTCTTGTTGCTTCTGTGCTTACATCTGCCATCGTAGATGTGCATGTTTATGTGCTCTCTGTGTAGCCCTTTACTTTAGCTGAAGTATTTTACATTCTTCTTGTTTTTTGTTTTTGTTTGTTAGCATTTTCATGCAAAAGAAGCAAAGAAATGCCAGAGTCCCAAAGAGTTTCAAAACGAAACGAAGCACGAGGCAGTTGGACAATCAGACACAATGATACCCCGTAGTGGGGTTTATTTTGCATTTTAACATAACAAAAAAGTAAAGAACAAAGAGCAAACTTACAACAAAGTATTCGCAGAGTTTAATAGCTAGAAACATTTCTTTGCCTTTGTTTAAAATAAACATTTCCAGGCACACAATATACCCCGTTTGGCTCTGCGATTAACGGGTAGGAAAAAGGTTCAACAACAGTGAGCTAATGGGCTTAGGCCTTGTAGATGCCTTTGCTTATGTGGGCCTATGTGTGTGTGTATCTAGTCCCTGTGCATACTTCTACACTACTCTTGTATGTGTGTGTGGCTCCACATCGTTTGAAAAGTTCAGCTTCTCTTTTTTCGGCCATTACGGTCTGTGATGGCTCTTAAGATCATAATCAGTGGCATTTTATTTTGAAGCAGCTGGAAGTGGGCTCGAGCAGCTGAAGACGGCAACATTTACGCATTGAACTGCGTTATTACATCCTTGATTTGTTTATAACAGGAAATTATTAACGAAAATATATGCCAGGCAGCGAGAGAAAATCAACAGAAATCAAATAACAAGCGTACGCCCCCGTTTACATTCATTCAATAGGGGTTTGTATTTTTTTTCTGTCTTGTGTGTTGCTGCTCGCCTGGCTGCGGCGCTCTCCTTGCCGCTCCTTACTGTGTCTGTGGGCGCTCAAATCGTTTGCTAATTTCCGCTTGCCGCGCACTCATCGCTGCTGACATTACAGATAG